GGACGTCCCCGCGGCGGCGGCGGCGGCTGCAGGGACGGCGGGGACGGCGGCTGCGCTCGGTGGGGCCGCGCTGCGCAGGCTGCAGGGTAATTAAGGAGCCACACCGGCCGCCGCGAGACTAGCCGGGGCTGGGGGAGGCCGGGATCCCCGCCCGCGCAGTCCTGCGGAGCAGCGCTTGGGAGAAATACCCGCATGTCGGAATAAGTAACCCCCGACCCGAGAGCGAGGCGCCGGAACCTCGCGTCTTCCAGTTTATACCCCTTAACTGTCTCCTCGCTTCCAATGGGTAACGTCTCTAGATGTAGACCAAAAATAACGATCTAACGGCATGCATTTATATTGAGTTTATTTGTTCTGTGCATTTAACCCCATGGATATTTTTTTTTCTTCTGTATTTGATGTCTGTTCTCACCCGCATCAGCAGTGCTCATAGCTCTCCTTTACAAACACACGTAGCCAGAAAAACCACCTAGAACTAAAGTATAAGGCATAAAGCCTGCATTACGTGAACATCTGAACACGAACTACATTCTATGTAGCATATTAAAGTGGCCATATCGTGCCAAACGTTCTTGGTCCCATCATTAAGCTACCTATGGGAATGCGTAATTGCAGGTGTGCATTATTTATCTACCAAAATATATTTACCTGTAAAGCACAGTTTTTACATTTTCTTGAAAAGCAGATGCACGCAAATGACCAGCAACATGAGCAGATGACATAGACCCGGCATGTGTGCGGCCCGGCAAGTGAAAGGGCCGGTGGCAAAGCTGCGCAGCTTACCTTGAATGTGTGTTTGAGCCCCTCAGAGGCGCAGTGGAGTCCGGCCCGGGCTGCCGCACCGCCGAGGAGTGGCCCTAGGGAGCTCCCTGCGAGTGGGGAAGGGGGACGCATCTCTGCCCTTATTAGTCTTTCCCAGTGTGACCCTCCCACTCGACGAGGACGGAGGACTCCGCAAGACAGGACTCCGCCAACTCGTGCACAGGTTTTCCTTAATTACAACAATGTCGTCTTGCAGCTAGGAATACTGCCTTTCAGGTTTATGTTTTATTAGCACTTTCACAGATAGAATGACTGTTGGTTGCAGGTGCTAGAGTTTCTCACTTTGATTATGAAGTGTCTTCCAAGTATTTGTATGTGGCACACATTCACAGGTAGATAATTGGCTTTTTAACAGTTGAGCTAAAAAGGGGTATCATTTATGTTTCATTTTTCACTTTTATGTCAGGAGTTTATATAAAGTTAATCAAGAGAGTCTTCCCGCCTTCTGATGTTCATGTGTACAGGTTTGTGTGGCATGATTTGTCTCAGAGTACACAAAATTATTTTGTGATTTTAAGTATTATGTCTTTCCATGGATTGGTGCTACAAATCCTGGGTTTTGAACTCTGGGAATCCCTTTGAACATGTGAAGATAACATTTTTCTGCAGATCTCCGTGTAGGTATTTGTGTGTGTGCGTGCATGTGTATACACGTGTGTATACATACATGCACACACACATATAGTGGGTATATATGTATATTTGTAGGCATATATACATATTGTGTGTGTGTGTATATATATGTACATACATATATACACCCACGCACATTTACATATATTTGAAAGAAAAACAAAACCATTATAGAATTCAGAAAAATAATCAGGCATTAGAAAATGGATAAATTGGTTTAATGTTCTGTAGTTCAGTATTGCCATAGTTGGGGAAATATTATAAATTATGTTACTGATCCATAATAATGAAAATCAGTAAGTTTAAAAGTTACCTTAAACCAGAGAAATATGCTTCACGTGTCAGGGCTCACAGATCAGATCATAAATAAAATTAGGCTGGCAAAAACTAAAAATGTTAAGAAAAAATTTAAGAGATCACTCATTTCCACTTCATTTAAGTGAAACTATTAGAGTCAACTAGTGGTTTTTAAACCTTTCATTGTAATCAAAATACCTGCAGTTTTAGTCTTGCATCCATAGCGATGCGAACCATGTTTATATGTCAGAATTTAAAACCTCTTGATGTGTTTCCTTCATGTGTGATTTTCATCACTAATTTTTGGTTGACTGTGGAAAGAGGCCAAAGAGGGAGGATAGCACATGAGTCATGCTGCTCAAATGGCCATTTGAAAACCATGATTCACAAACCTTCATCAGAATTTTGGTGATCATTCTCTAATTTTTTTAAAAGTGTTACCCTTATTTGAACCTCGTTTTTTTCTTTCTAAGCAATTGTACTTTACATTATACTTGTTGGTGAACTGAAATAAGAGCATCCAGGCTTTATTTCTCTGATAGACTATTATATTCACCTTATTTACATTTAATTGGTACTATTTAAAGTAAGGCTTTAAAACTACTTAGGAGAAAGCCTGAAACTTTGCCTCTAATTTGTGTTTTAATACAAGTAAATCAACCGTATTTTAGTGTTATTTTTGCAAACATTTTAATAATTTCATAATCTTTAAGATTTTTTTGAAATAACCATTGTTATATTTTTGCAATAACCACTGTTATATTTTTGCTTTAATCTCAAATTGCTCTTTTCCCTACTCACAGCATTGAACTAAACAAGAGTTTGGAAGAAAGTGAGAAATGATTAAAAATAAAGATTATTATTATCTGTGGCTTACTCTGCACCAACAATCCTAGGTCAATAAATGTTCCTGGTTTTTCTTCCAGGAAAGGGTTCAAATTTGGACTGGTTTCATAATTAGAAACTATGATAGCCCTCGGGTTGGGCCCTTTAGGCCAATTCTTTTCATTGAATTTTAAAGTGACTTCAAATAGAAACAGCCCCTAACTGAGCACCTTTTATTTATACAACCCAAATACAATTATAAATGATCAGTTTTTCCACTTGCTTCTGAAGCTACTGCTGGTGAACGCACATCTGAAAATAATAGGAGATCTGACAGGACTTTGAATTCTGGCAAACAGCTTGCAGGCCTTCTAATGCCCAGTTTAGCTGTCTGCATGTGTGACTTTAAAAAATTAAAAAGATCTCAAAAGCAAACTGCTTTCAACATTTATGCGCCATGGAAGACAGGTTTAACTATTTTTATGCCATACGAGGAATACATTCCTTTTAGTACATTAAAAAACTGTTCCGTATTTGTAAAGCCCCACTTATATAAATGATATAAAAGGAACAGTGCACCCAATTTTGATAATTGCCCCATAATAAATTTAAAGAATGTATTTTTTTTCCTGAGCTTCACTTCTCAATCTCCTGGGTTAATACAGCTATTTGTTTTTCTTTTTCTTTTTTCTGTACCTCTGTACTCCCAGCCATGTTACTTTGCCCTTTCTCTTTTGTGATTTCTTTCACTTTTCTCCTCCCTCATAGTTTCCTTTTCCCAAGAGGAAAGAATTTCAGCATTGCCCCCAGCTAACTTCTTAGTTACCAAACTATAAGAGTGTCATTCTCTATTGAGTTGACGGGGCACAGCCATACGTGACTCCCATACATATCCCATGGAAATACTTCAATGCATCAATAGTCGCTGAACAGACGGTACTGTTAGCTGTAATTACCAAATCTGACTTGTCATCGCTAGCATGCACTTCCCATTCTTTCCTTTTTAGACCAGTACTACACATAATATTCTTAAGGGTAAACAGAAAGCCGGCGTATCAGGTCTAATTTTTTAGTAATCATCAAAAGTAAGGGCATTTAAAATTTGTAAAGGCTATTTTTACCATCGTTTCTGAAAATAATTCTCTTCACAGAGCAAATAATATTCCACTGGTGGTTGTTATGTTTGCTTCCATTCCTGGAAGACATTCTAGCTCCTCACTTTGACTCAGCTTAGAAATGAGAGAGGAAGAGGTGATCATAGATCTGACATTCACTTAGTTCGTTAGACTTACTTCCTAGGGATCGGTGACCCTGAAAGGAAATATGGTAAAAGACAAATGCCTGACTGGGGAAAATGTTTATTAATACACATCCAGCTCTCAAAAAAATTAAAAAAAAAAATGAAGATAGATAAACATCCCAATAGAAAAATAGGCATATGTGAAAAGGCCATTCACAAAGGAAATACAAATGGTCAATAAATGCATGAAAATTTTCAATTAAATTAGTTGGATTAAATTAGTATTCAAAGAAATTAATTTCTAAAGGAATGATTTTGTCCCCTGCCCATTTGCCAGGATTAATATTAGTGATTATATTCAGTGTTGGCATAAATGAGGAGCGTCCTCACACTTACAGAGGAACACAGAATAGTTGTCTTTCTGAAGAGCAGATTTGCCACATTTATGTAAAGCTCTCAAAACTGCTCTAAAACCATTAACTGTGGTTATTTCTGAGTTATGATTATGGGAGGTTTTGATTTCTTCTTTTTGATTATGATAATATAAAGTTTCTACAGTGAATATGTATTATTGTTGTAATAAAAATGTAACAAACAAAAACTAGTGTGGTATTTTTTTATATCTCCAAGAAATTAATAAAGCAGTGGTGGTAAGAGAGCCTAGAAATTTGCCTCTCAAGTCCTCTTCAATCATTTCCAGCAGGAATCTTCAGGTAAAAATTAGTATAACTTGAAACATTTAAACTTATTGTAGTGATTTCTCTAGGAAGCAGATATTAAACCGTTCATTCAACACAGTTTTAAATGCCTCTTAAATCTTTAAAAAAAAAACAACAAAAAAAAAACGGGCACCTGGGTGGCTCAGTCGTTAAGTGTCTGCCTTCGGCTCAGGTCATGATCCCAGGGTCCTGGAATCGAGTCCCACATCGGGCTCCCTGCTCGGCAGGAAGCCTGCTTCTCCCTGTCCCACTCCCCCTGCTTGTGTTCCTGCTCTCGCGCTCTCTCTTTGTGTCAAATAAATAAATAAAAGCTTTTAAAAAAAAATAAATGCTTCTTAAGCTGAGCACTGTAGAGTATACAAAGATAGGTTGCACGTGGGCCCCACCTCCTGGAGTTTAACATTTAGTAAGAATGAGAAGACAGTATACACATACATAATGAAATTATGAAGTGAAAATACAAAGTACGATAAAGTAGATATAAGATACTGGGAACGTTCAAAGGAGGGGGGAAACTATTAATACGTAGAAGCATGAGGGTCAAAAACTTCTGGTGAGCAAAAATATATCTGTTGTTTTGTCAGTCTAAATAAATCTACTTAAAAATCATCATAGAATCATAGTACTAGAAGGGGCACTGTAACTAAATAATTATTTGTGAAATGATGAATTTACTGGTTCTATAATAAATACTTGTTGAAAGAATCAACAGAGGGGAGAAGAAAAACTAAGAATCCCCAGAGAACAAACCCACTTCTCTCCCTATTCGGATGAGGAAAATGAAGTTCCTTTCCTACTGAGCTAAATCCTTTCCTGGGAATTCCAGGCCTGAAACAGTGTAACCTCAGTCTGCTCCCCTCAGACCCCTTAGATGCACAGGAGATCACAACCAGATTAATCGCCGGTAACCACAGAATGAACATGCCCAGCGCTTGCTCCATGCTCTTACTCATGCTGCCTCCAGCTGAACCTCAAGGTAGCGAGTGAAATTCTGCCAATCATCCGAGGCTTATTTCAGGTGTTCTCTAATGTCACCAAACTCTCCCCCACCTCGAGACCGCAAAGCAGTCACTTTCTAATGACAATCTATTTTCCATTAGCTTGTTTTACACACATTTCTGTGTTTGGCCCTCTGACATGATTGTAAACTCCTCGAGGACTAGAATGGAGTCTTCTCCTTTTTTTAATAATACCAAGAGCACCTAGTACAATAAATTGTTTTTTCCTAATATAATCTTCAAATATTTGTTGAAATGAGGCCTGCAGAGGTTAAGTAACTGAGGACATACAATTTTCTAATTACAAAG